AGATATCCTGTCTATTTCTGCAGACTAGAACCTGTACAAGCAGAAAATGAGTGGTAGAAAGGTAGCTACAGCGATTAAAATAGGTAGGACGTAGACGGAGTAATCAGCAGAAGCATAGGGGTCCGGCGCAGGAGGTTTTTCCAATGACGAGGGCATAGGGAGTCGTCGAGATCTCCAAGAGGAATCCTCGTCATTTTCAGCACCACTCTCTTGAAGATGTGACAATGTTGATGGTGGTAGTGAGACTTGTGGATGAAAACTATCCTCCTCTTCTAAGAAATCCTGTGGAGGCAATTTGGGAATATCTGGAGCGAGAATCAAGTGTACTGATTTTAACTCACCCTCGATGGAGTTCTTAAACAATGCAATTGCATTCACTTTGGGATTATCGTGACTACCCTAAAAGAGAGAATTACCTTACAGTGAGGAATTCAATTAGAATTATCTAAGAAAGGGAAGCAAAGTTGACGTCACCTTTACAAAAGTTATCCGCAACTTTTCATCACTTGATAGTTTCACAATAGCGTCTCCCACGACTATGCTACCATCTCTAATGGTAAAAGGTATATTTTCATCGTGAGCTACGGAAAACCCAACTTTCTGAAAAATGTCCAGGTCCTTGATTATTCTTAAGCCACCATTCAATTCGACAGAAAAGACCTAAAAGTACACAAAAATGCTTCGTAAATTGTTCAAAATGACAAAAACATATTAAAAATTTAAAGTAACCATTTAAGACTGGTTTGTCAACAATATATGGTTTGGTAACTGTCACTCACTTTTCCATTGGGATGCTGGAACCAAACCTCCGAAAATTTTAAGTGCAACACGTACTGACCGTCAGCGGGAAGAGGGAACTCATAATAAAATGACGAGGTATCGTACCGTTCTGTTTGATACAAAACTGCGTCGGACTCATGTGCTCTGTGCATCACCAAATTTAGCCCATGACCAGAAGCAATACCACGATTATTAAAGTCTGCGGCATACCACACACCATTGCTATCGACGTGTGCATCACCACCACAATTAATGGCAAAGACAGGATTTAGTTCGGCTGCAAAGGTGACGCGAAAGACAAGACACAACACTAGACAGACAGCACAGGAGTTCGCGGTGCAGACCATAATTGCGCCTGATTGCGGTTTGGAAAAACAAAGGTCCACATATTCATTAAAACTGAACATTGCTGTGATACATGAGCTACCTATTAACATCTCAGTTTTAGCTACAAGGTTCTCTCAGTTGCTCTGTCACCATACTTTGGCCTGGTAGGCTCTCCTCCAAGCCTCGCTAGTAATCCCCAAGCAGTAAGATGTGTCGAGCAATTTGTTGGCTTTTTTCCGCTAGGATTCTCAAAAGGCTAAATTATCACAATCTAATTAGCACGAAACAAGGCGGAATGTCACCAAGTTGCTAAAATAGGCAAAGGTGCACTTAATTAAAAACAAATATTTTAAAGAGGTACTGAAAAAATAGATTAATTAATCGTATCTGAGTTTGGTTTCATTCGCAAAAGATGGTGTGTAAGTAATGGACTTTTTACCGGCTAAGAAATTTTCTGGTTGATGCTTGTTGGGAGCAAAGAAATCAGCCATATAGTCTGTGTAATACTATAGCGCCTTAAAACTCCCTAAAGACGAAAGAAGACAAAATACTGGGCCGAATATAGACGTTTAGCACAGAAAAGGTGTCCGGGCTATTGGCATGGCCCTAAAGGCCAGTTCACCTAGTGAGGTACAAGAGGGCTAATTCAAAGTACCAAAAGTGGCTCTTCACCAATACCGAGAGATAAACCACTATTGTACTACAATTCGATGGTTGTTTATCCCTTGGTACTGGTAAGGCGCCACTTTTCTTTAGAGAATTTTCCTATCGTCCCCCATGGACCTGAAATAAATCCCGACCTTCCTTACACAAATTTACTTTTAGGCCAGTGTTCCTACATCCATCTATGGACGCACATGATGACCAGCACAATTCCCCATTTCTAAATCAAGTTCCTACACCAGTCAAAACTCCAGATCCAGTTAAGTTGCCAGGAGGGATCAGTGACGTTGAGATCAAGTCTCTCCCCAGTTGCACGCCAATTTGGTGACTGGCACCGTGGGATCGCGGGTGTTTCTTTACGGCACCGACTACGTTGTGATGGCTGTTGCGGGAGATTGATCTCCGAGAGCGCCAGAGACGACGCTCAAAAGGGGAGGGAGGCTATGTAACACGACAGTGGTTTACCCCTCTGTATTAGTAAGGCGCAACTTTTGAACTTTTGAAGTTGCCTTCTTGTACCTAGATGGGTGAGCTGATCTTCGGTCCATGCCAGTAGCCCATGCACCTTCTCTGTGATGAACGCGTATATTCTGCCCAAGTATTGTGTCTTCTTTTGTCTTCGGAGAAGTCTCGGGACGCTAAAACTGCACTGTACAGGAACATGTGTTGCATGTGTAGGGAAAGGTTAGAAGCGTACTGCTTAAAGCCAAGGCTTGCAATGTAGGGTTATAAATGGATCTTGTAGCCACAACTGCTTGCGTAGAGCAATACAAATCGAAAAGAAATGTCAGAGTGCAGCAACATTTTTCGGTCAAATTGAGCCTTTTTTACAATCCTGTGACAAAAGCCTTTTAAAACTTGCTAAAACATATCTTTAGTTAGTGTTTACGGCTAAAAACTGTGGGGTAAGACCTATTTGCTAAAAAATTTAATTTGTTGTTTCAATCATTGGTATTATATTTCAATTTGTCAAAAACGGAAGCATTACGCAATCTGGCCCGCATTATCACTGTGTCTTGTTTACGGTTTTGTTCAGGCACTCGGTACAATGGCTGAAACAGCAGGAGACATGCAGAACGATCCTCTCTTAGATGTCATTGACGAAAAGGCCAATGATATCGAAGATTTAAGTGAACATTTCTATGACACGTGTTCTCTTGACTCACCAAATAAGATAGGAGAGCCTAAATTTTCTGATTCACATGACGATCCAATGGATTTTCACGACCCAAAGTCGGAGCATGATGGGGAAGACATTTTGCAAGCTCGATTAGAAGAGGAGAACCTTTTGTCAACTGAAGAATTGGAGGTAATCGCTCTTATTCTAATTTTGCATTTGTTAGCGTCGTAAACTTAAGGCCATCGATTTAAAAGAAGATGGAAATTCTAAATTCAGAGAAAATCTTTTTGAAGATGCACTTTCGTTGTACACAACAGCACTGGACACTTGTCCTTTAAGGTTTTCTGATGAGCGGGCGAAGATTTACTCGAATCGCGCTCTTTGTCATTCTCACCTGGTAAGTTTGCTCCCGATTTTGCCTCTAATCTCTTCTAAATATGTACTAAAGTTTGCTTTATGGTTAGGGATCTCCTAAAGCTGCCCTAACAGACTGTGATGAGGCCCTAAAGCTAAACCCGGATTATCTTCGATGTCTAATTCGTCGTGCTGACCTTAGAGAATCAGCTGACCGCCTGACAGAAGCACTAGAAGACTATCAGCACGTTTTACAACTTGATCCTTCCAACGCTAAGGCTCGCGCCGCTTGTGCTGTAAGTTGCTCTACCATTTAAATAGCAGAGGAAAACTCCTGCTCC